GCTGTTCAAATCTGATGATCTGAGTTCTGTCCCTGGATCCTGGATCCCTTGATGGAAGGAGAGAACTAACTCTCCCAAGTTGTCCTCTGACCTCTACAGGTGAAGTCACTTACATGCGTGCACACACACACACACACACACACACACACACACACACACACAGGCACATGTGCGTGCACCTGGGGATGTGGCTCAGTTGGTAGAGCATGTGCCTAGCATGCACAAAACCCTGGGTTTGATCCCTAGCACCAAATAAACCTAGTCTGGTGGTGCCTGTAATCCCAATACTTGGAAGTGTGAGGCGGATCAGAAAGAAGTTCAAGGTCATCCTCTCTTACATAGCAAATTTGAGGCCAGCCTGGGCTACATGAGACCCTGACTGAAAAAGAAAATCCTTTTGCTCGCCAGCATTCTCATATTTTTCTGCAGTTTTCAACGTGAACTGGAAGAGGTGGGCCACAGCTAGACTCTCCCCAGAGAGATGGGTATTTGAAAGATGAAGGGGCCTCATGTTCTCAGGGACTCTGTTTGAGGGGTGCAGGCATGGAAGATTTAGAGCAGGGGTCAGCTGGTATGTCCTGTAAAGGGCTGTGGTAAATATCTTCAATCCTGTGGTCCACATGGCTCCTGTAAGTCACTCAGCCTTCACTGAGATACGCTGTGCTGTAAGATACCAGGTCCTGAAAGTAACTAGGGCAGCAGTCATAGATGGGTGTGGCTGAGTTACAATAAAACTTTATTTACAAAAAACTGGGCAGTGAGCAAGGCTTAGCTTCTAAAGACTATAGTTTGTTAATCTCTGATCTAGAGAAAAACAAGAAGGAACAAAAAACAGCAGTTTGATGACAGGCTTCTTCAAGTGCTGGGGTGTCCCCAAATAGCACAAATTGCAGGAAGGAACTAGCCAGAGAACATTGCAGGGGCGGATGTTTACTTAAGAGGGGAATCCCCATTCTTTCTCTAGTGGCCCTGCTGCACCTGACTGGGGTCCCTGGGGGCGCCCCGCAGTTTGCATTATGCTTTGAGGGGCTGTAGGAAGTCAGCTGCAGGTTCTTCTCTGACCTTCAGAGCCACCTGTGTTCTGTGGGGGAATCCAGCATCACCTGATCCCTTTCAGTCCCTCCCCCAGAACTTCATTTTGGGTGTGAGAGTGCTGAGGGTCCCAGGAATGTGGAGGAAAGCAGCCTTGCCACCAGGAGCTGCAGCCGGAGGGGGAGCTGTCAGATGCACGGGACCCTGGGATGGGACACTCAGGACAGTGAAGCCCTGGCGATGTCTACAGAGGGACAAGGACAGGCTGGCGGGAAAACTCAGCTCTCTGTGTCCCAGCCAGCCTCGGACTAAGGATTTTGTCTGGGCCCCTCCACAATCCTTTATTGGGCACTGATCCTGTTGGGGAGATTCAGACCTGGGTCTGGGGATTCAGGAAGCTGGCCTGCACTGGGGAAGTGCCCTCCACAGAGAGAAGAGGGTGGTACAGTGCAGAGGAGCCTCAGGCTGAAGTCAGTGGTAGAACCCAGACACATGACAGGGACTTGGAGGGCCCTGCCCACCTCTCAGGTCAGATGTCGGGGGGGGGGGGGCTGGCCTGGGCTACAGAGAAGAGCCCAGGAGAGGGTCTCACCAGAGCGGGGTAGGGGGCACAGACCCCACTAGGATCAAATCTCCAGAAATGGTCAACACACTGGGGGGAAGGTTTGAGGTGACCAGAGGCTGGGGTAGGAGGCCGTGAAGAGCCACTGCTTATGATGAGATGGGCTTTTGTTTGGGAAAGTGTTTCCAGATAGATCGTGGGGTGCTTTCTGATACACACATACTTAGAATAGTCCGGCTTAGGGCTGGAGAGATGGCTCAGTGGTTAAGAGCACTGGCTGCTGTTGCAGAGGACCTGGGTTTGATTCTCAGCACCCACATGGTGTCTGACAACCATCTGTAACACCAGTTCCAGGGGATCCGACACCCTCTTCTAACTTCCACAGGTACTGCATGATGTGGGTGCACCTACCTACACGAAAGCAATATGCTCATACACATTAAATTAAAAAAAATAGTCCGACGCGGGCCCTCTCAGCTTCCCCTTGGTACACTTGTTGCGCATGCTTTCCAAGGAAGCTGTGCTTTGCATTGTGAATTTTGTTCCTTTCCCAAGCTGGTGGCATGAGGCACGATGCCCTCTCTGAGCTACTGCAATGAGCTATAGGCCCCAGCCAGCTCCAAGGTCACCGAAGGAGCCAGGCCACTCTCCTCAGGGTAAACATTGTACTCAGCGAAGTCATAGATGGTCAGACGAAACATAAAACAGGCTCAAGGAAGACCAGGATGCTTGCTGGGAGGCTACATACTTTAAGTGCTTTTCCCCCCTCTGTAATCCAGGCTGGTCTCAAACTCACAATCTCCCTAACTTAGCCTCCCCAAAGCAGGGTTGACAGGTATGTGCCATCACACCTACCGTGTGTGTGTGTGTGTGTGTGTGTGTGTGTGTGTGTGTGTGTGTGAGAGAGAGAGAGAGAGAGAGAGAGAGAGAGAGAGAGAGAGAGAGAGAGAGATGTGGGGGTATGGCTCAGTGGTAGAGCCTTTGCCTAGCTTGCCCAAGGCCTGAATTCAGTCCTCAACACTGCACAATCAAGCAATTAGTCAATCAGCTGATCAACATATCAGTGCATACACACCTAACCAGACCTGGCTCAGACTCAGTTAACCTCCTTTGTCCACAGACCTCTTCACTACCTGGCTTTGCTCATGTCATGGTGTGTTAGTTCTGGATTTCCACAGAGTGGGTGAGTCCACCCAGGAATAAATAGCAGCTGGCTTCCATGTGAGTGGGCTTCTGCAGTGTTCTGGAAGAGAATAGCATCTCTTAAACCAGGTGTAGCATATGTCATGCATTTGAAGTAGGGCTTTAAAACATCTATTTAAATAGGCCCTTTACCTTTTACAGCAGGGTCAGTGAAAACCAGGGAATCCCAGGCTTTTAGGGTCGGGCAGGACTTGATTACTTATGTAGGCATCCACCCCCTCCAGTGGTTTAGAAACTTCTTTGGCTCATGGGTTTAGACTCTGAACCCTTGATTCCCTGGTGCAAGTGTGTATGTTTGAACTGGAGAGTTGGAGGTACTGGATCTGATGCAGTCTGTAGGCACTATCATGCAGACAGGACCTGGACCAACATGCTTTTCTTCTAGTCTCTGCCCCCACCTCCCCGCCCTGCAGTATGGCCTTGGGGTGAGCTCAGGGGTCCCACAGCAGGTGACATTTGTGCACATTGGTACTGGCTGAGCAGTGGCCATCCTGGTGATAGTTAGCATTAAAACTATGAAGAGGCTGGAGATGGCCCAGTGATTAAGAGTGTTTGCTCTTGCGGAGGACCTGGGTTCAGTTCCCAGCACCCACATGGCAGCTAACAGCCACCTGTAACTTCGGTTCCAGGGGATCCAATGCCCTCTTCAGGCCTCCATGGGCATTGCATGCCCTGGGCACAGTTATATACGTGCAGGCAGAGCAGGCAGGACACTCATAAACATGAAATTTAAAAAACAGCCATGAACAGGCGCGTTTGTCCACATGGGCACTGACACGCTGACACAGTGGTGAGACCCTGTGGCTACAGCAGATGCCCCTCATGTCTAACCCTAGGAAGTCCGAGGATGGCACTCCTCTCAGTGACCCAGGATAGTGGTGAGGCTCTTGGTGGGGCTTGGTTGTTGATTGGTCAGCTGAGCACTCCACAGTTCCATAGTCACTGCTGCAGCGACAAGTTGTCACCGTTGTAAGATCCTCAGCACTAGACATAGCCAGTCTCTTAGAATAGTGGTGGGAGGGCTGGAAGACTGGCTCTTCATATTTATTCACTTGGGCTATTTATTCATTTAACAGTTATGTGCTAGGTGCTATTATGTGACAGGCTACTGTGGAGGGGACTTGGTGCCCTCTGAGCTTGCCACTGACTGGAGTGAAGGATCACATGCCCTAGTAGATGTGCCTGCTTAGCACTGACAAGTCTGCCTTTCTGGATGTCTGGAGTGCTTTGTGAGCATGTGTAAGGAGGGGCAGAGATGTTCACTTTTTGGTCTGGGGGGAGGTTGGGTCTCTGTGTGAGCAAGAGGCATATCCTGAAGATATAGCATAGCACGTGCAAAGGCCCTGAGGAGGCTTTCGTGACCCTGGAGAGGTTCCATATACAGGTTGGAAACAGGAGAGATGACTCCCGAGTCCGTGAAAACCTTTGGTTTGGTTTACAGCCTGGCTGGCCTCAAACTCCTAGTCCCCCAGCCTCTACCTCCCAAGTGCTGGGATTGCAGGTGTGCATCACTGTGCATGGCTCTGAAACTTGACTGCTCAGCAGTTGCATACTCTTAAGTTGAGAACGTTGAGCAAAAGGCACCGGTCTCTCTTCAAGCAGTGTATCCCCTTTCATAGGCTCCCTCTCCCGTCATAAACCATGGTACTTTCTCTGCAGTGTTACAACTGCTTATGTGTGAATGAGTGTGCGAGTGTGTGTGAGTACATGCATGAATGCATGTGTGCATGTATGAATATGCATGCATGAGTGTGCATGTATGAGTACGTGTGTGTGCATGAGCTTGTGAATGAGTGTTGTGCACAAAATTATGAGTCCCATGGTGTACAAGATCTCTAGTTCACATTGGAGCACATAGTAGGTGCTTAGTAAACATGTATCTGAAAAACAAGGAAGGCATTTACTGAGCACCTATGTGGACCCAGCCCTCTGTGCACACTGTGTGTGTGAGTGTGTGTGTGTGTGTGTGTGGGCGCGCGCGCACGTGTATATGTATGTGTGCACGTATGTGTGTGAATGGTGTGTGTGTGTGTGTGTGTGTAAAGCATAAAGCTATGTAACTGAAAAGCTGAAAGAAGTGTTAATCTCAGAGCTGGGGGAGACGCCAGCGGATGCAGTTGGAACCCGAAAGCTTTTGTACCGTCTGTGCTCATAACTGGTGGAAGGAATTCCGGAACAAGCTATCTATCCCATGTCTCCCCAGCCCTGCAGAGACAGCCTGTGGGCGCAGCTTCCTTCTCTGCCGCTTCTGCCATGGGCATGCATGGACGACCCGTTCACCGTGAGCCTTGACCCTGCTGGCTTTCCCAGGTGGCCTCACGCCCCCACCCAGGGCCTGCCAGCCCTGGTAAGTGGGTGTTACTCAACCTGAGCTGGGGGCGGGGGGCTGGGGTGTCTGGGTGGTAGGGGATGCTGGGGAATTTTCTCTCTGTCCTTTGCATCCTGTCAGTGTCAGGCTGGGTGTGGATGGCAGACAGGGGCTTCCAGAGACCTCAGGTGAGCAGTCCTGGTTTGGGATGGGACCCAGAGCCCTAGGGCTATGCAGATGGAAAGCCTCCAGTTCCCAGTCTCTCAAATCTTTGCCTCCATTCTGCCCCTGACTTAGTGGAGACAATATTCTCAGCTTGGGGAGATAGAATCTGTCATCACCACAGAGCAGGTACAGGAGAAAAAAATACCAAAATCTGTCTTCATTTCCTGAAGCCGCTATGTGAGTCACAACCAGGGGAGCCACACTGGACCGGGAGGTTCCAGGTTAACCAAGATGCATTCTTCCTTCCTAGTTCCCCGAGAGGTGGGCTGGCTGAGGGCCAGATAGGAAGGGGAAGGCCATTCTGGCTGAAGCAGGTGGGTCAAGAACAGGGGCTCATCTGGTACTTTTTAGGAATCAGAAAGGAATAAAATGATTTTTTTTTTTTGGTTTTATTTTGGGAGATGGGGTTGAGATAGGACCTCACTATGTAGCACTAGTTGGCCTAGAACTCAATACTGTAGGCCAGACTAGCCTCCAATGATGGGATGCAAGGTGTGCACCACCACACCCAGTTGGAATTTAAAACAAAAAATCAAGGTAGAGCTGAAACTGTGTGTGGTGCTGCACCCCTGTAATCTCAGCACTTGGGAGGTGGAGGCTGGAGGATCAGGAGTTCAAGGTCATTCTCCATCAGGAATTTGAAGCCAGATGGGGGTTGGGGGAGACAGATACAAAGAGAGAGACAGAGAAAGAAGTAAAGAAAGAAAAAGCAAGGCTTAATGGGCCAGGACTTGGTTGGTTGTAAGTCGGTCTCTGGGGCCTTTTTCTTCCTCTTCATAAGGCAGAAGTGCCATCATTCCTGCCTCTCTGAGCTGTTGGAGGGTTAGTGAGGGACGAGGGCTCCGTCTGAGAGCAGATCTCAAACTTGGAAAGTGAGACCTGGCCATTGGACCCACCGACAGGATGGAAGGTGGCGTGGCTTAGAACACAGGACGCGCCCTTGTGTCAGCCACCACGCCACTCTTAATAGAAGGGGGCCAGACATGGCTCAGTGGCAGAGCACAGGTGAGGCCCTGGGTTCCATCCTCAGCAGGGCAAAACAAGCAAACAAACAGCAAAGAGGAAACCAGTAAAAACAGATGTGTCAGAAAATCCACCAGCAGAGGACAGCAGGTTGAGTGCGGGAAAATAAGAGATGACTTTGGGTTTTAAAGGCATTTTTGCTGGGTGTGGTGGCGCTGACTTTTAATCTCAGCACTGGGAGGTAGAGGTAGGCAGCTATCTGAGATCCAGACCAGCCTGGTTTACATATTGAGTTTCAGGCCAGATGGGGTTACAGGGAGACCCTGTTTCAAAAAAAAACCCAAAAAACAAAAAACAAACAACCAAACAAAAAACCCCAAAAGTAAAACATATAAATAAAATAAAATGAAGGCATGTGGAAAGGAGGGAGGAAGAGGAGCAGCTGAGCCCATTAGCAGCTGAGGCATGGGTTCTCACCAGCAGTGACTCCAAGGGCCTTCTCTGTGGGTGACTGTGTGAGCTGAAGGTGCTGGGTGCTCAGCCCAGACCTGTGATGGGACTCAGCCAGGATACCTGCATGTCTTGTAGGTACGTGTGACTTGGGAAGTAGGCTGAATGGCAGGAGTGTGTGGTGTGCACACGGGGTGAACCTGGGTTTGAATCTGACTTGTCTTACTTCCTGCGTGCCTTCCAGCTTTTTGCTTTGCCTCTCTGAGCTGCAGAGAGCTTGGTGCTGAGTTGGGCTTGAGACCAGCCAAGAAAGGCCTAGAACACCAGCGCTTTGCCTGAGCCCTCTGAGCGGGAGCAAACCACAGGCAGCTGTCGGTGTCCCTCTCCAGAGCTGGGCAGGTGGCAAACTACCCAGACCTGCCCAGTGAGGTCAGAATCTGGGACTCAGGTCTCAGTCCAGGTCCCCAAACCCTCACTCTGCACCCTTACAGATACTGTTTGCTAAATTTACTTTTTTTTTTTTTTTTTTTAAAGCCGTTGCTTTCCCATTTCTAATGCGCTTAATCCTCATGGAGCCACAACTGTAACCATGGCGACGAGGGTTGAAGTTGGTTCTATGACATCCCTAAGGACAGGGCCCAGTCTTGGTGACATCAGCAAGGAGGAGACACTGAAGAGGACCTACTTCTGGCAAGCTGGGGACACCCCTGGGGCTCCCTCCACCCACATCCTAGAAGGAAAAAGCCCCCTACGGACCTCGACTTGCCTCTTCCCTCTGCCCACACTTCCTCCCAAGCCTGTCTCAAAGGAACAGGGCCCTGAGGGGAAAGCCCCTGCCTCAGCTTTGTGGCCTTGTCCCACCCGGCCCTGTCCTTCAACTGCAATAGACAAGGAAGCCAGAGAGGACTTTTGTGGAAAGATGCCTACCTTGGCCAGGCAGGAGGTGGGCAGCGGGGAGGTCCTGCACAGTGACCCATCTCTACCCAGCAAAACCACCTTCCCAAGGCCTGGCCCCAGCACCGTGGTCCTCTTTGAAAGTACCAAAGCTGGACCCACCCTGGGCAGAAGGACCAGTGAGGGGACCCGAGAGGTCAGCACCCAGGTAGCCCAGGATCCTCCCTTCAGCACCAGGCCTGAGGTAGTCACCAAGCCCTCTTTGCCTGCCCGAAAGCCCCCAGGGACTCTTCCCCGGCCAGCCTCCCTGTCTCAAAACATTCGGTCCACTGCATCCCAGGAGGAGGCAGGCCGGGCCCAGCCTTTGTCAAAGGCCGGGAGTGTGGAGGACCCCTCTGGCTGCTCTGTAGAACCCAGACCCCATCCAAAGAGAAGGCCTGTGTCAGCTGTGTTCAGTGAGTCGCTGCAGCCTCCAAAGCCAGGACCGGGAGGAGTGGGAGAGAAAGTACCCCCTACCCCTCCCGAGAAGACATGGATGAGGAAGCCCAGGCCTTTGTCCATGGACCTGACTGCTCCTTTCGAGAATAAAGAGGCCTTGCTGAAGAAGATAGCCAATGAACAGAGCACAGCAGGGCTCCAGGGCTCAGAGAGGGCCAGCATAGAACCCAAGGGGGATGCAGAGGGCTCTGTTCACAAAGCTATCCCTGGGGACCCTGATTCACATGTTCTGGAAGTAACCAAGAAGCATCCAGAATGGAAGAAGATGCTTTTTAAGCAGAAGACAGAAAGCCCCACAAGCCCTGGGGGCTGGGCTAGGGTCACCTCCAGAGATGACCAGAGTCTCCAGGAAGAGAAAGGCAGGCCGGATCAGCAGTCAGAGAAGGTGCCGGAATCTCCTATGCCCAGGCCTGGAAGAAGCCTGGGGCTGGCTGAGGTCAAGGATGGAGGGTCTGATTGGGAGACCTTGGCAGGGACAGAGAGGAGGCCTATAGGGAGCATCAGGAATCGCCTCAGCATGTTTGGAGAGGAGAATGCTGCAGCCTTGGAGGTGGCGTCTGAACCTATCCCAGCCACCTCGGAGTCCCCATCCATGGCACCAGAGCCTGAGAGAGCAGGCATGAATGTCCAGGCTCGGATCAAAGTCTGGGATGCTGAGGGCACTGAGGGAAAGCTGGAGATCAAGAGAAAGGTGCCCCCGGCGCGGCCAGTGTCTGCAGATATGACCAAACTGTAAGTGGCACATCCCAGAGCTTTACTAAGCCCTCAGGCTGCCTCAACACCCACCAGAGAGGAGACTCTGGGACGTCCACCCAGGAAACTAGGCTCCATGTGGGGGAGTCGGGAGCCCATGCAATTCCAACCCAGCCTGGCTCTATAGCTAAGCCTTCCTTCCCTAAGGTCAGAACACATTTTCGATTAGGCTGAGGGTATGGCTTAGTAGCAGAGCACTTGCTAGTATATGCTAGGCCCTGGTTCATCCCCAGCATCTCATACACACAAAGATTAGAGCTTGGCTTCATTGAGTGGCTAAAAAATAAAGCCAGCTGAGTCCTGATGACTAGGATGGGCCACTTCTCAGTGAGCCAGTGGGGTCTTTGGGGTCTTGTGTAGGTCAGGCTGCCTCAGATTCCTTATGTAGCCAATGACATTGAACTCTTGGTCTTCCCGCCTCCACTTTCCAAGAGCTTGCTGGCTCTTAGGGTGTCACCTCCCAAACCTCTGACCTTGTTGTTTTCCACTGTAGCCACAGCAGGGAGATGTCACTGGGCGTGACCCACCCCTTCCCTAATGCTCTACTCTTAGGCTTCAATTAGGGTGGAGCTCATAGGCCCTGGAACTGGCATAGCCAGCTGGGCCAAAGTTAGATCCAAGGCCCTCAGCACGTTAGAATCACCCAGAAACAACAGCCAGGCCTGGCCCTGCCCCCAAGGATTATTTTTTACTTTGTGTGTGTGTCATGGCGTCACATGTAGAGCCACAGGATACCTTGCACGAGTTGCTTCCCTCCTTCCACCATGTGGTTCCTGAGAATCAAACTCAGGTCCTCAAGCTTGGCAGCAGGTACCCCTAACCTACTGAGCCATCTCACTGGCCCCTGTTCCCAGGGCTTCTGGTTCACTGAGAGGGCTTATATTTTGGTAGTTTTTGAAGAACCTTTCCCAGAGCTGAGACAACAAAGCTTTCGGGGACCTCACAGGCTTCCACTGTGCCACCCCCTCCGCGTGCCACGGAGGAATCACGTGATTACCTGATAACCGTAGAAACAGACTGCAGAATTAGCAGTAACTCATGGCCTTTCAGGAAGTGGAGTCTGGATTACTCAGTGCTCAAGCAGTCTGATTCTTGTCCCCTTTTCTTTTTTCTTTTTCTCTCCTAACCCCCAGCCCTGAATCCCAAACCCTCATCAGACACAAGCCGCATCTTCAGGCATATGCCCCAAAGAATACATCAAAGACAGAAAGATTCGAGGCCCCTCCTCCTTTAGAACTAGGGATACTGGGGCTGGAGAGATGGCTCAGCGGTTAAGAGCACAGACTGCTCTTGCGGAGGACCTGGGTTTGGTTCCCAGCACCCATATGGCGGCTGTGAACCGTCCTTAACTCCAGTTCCAGGGGAATCCGAAGCCCTTTTCTGACCTCCACAACACTGCACGACATGGGTGCATTCATATACATGCAGGCAATACACTCATAAATTAAAAAAAGAACTAGGGATACTAAGGCCCAGAGAGGCAGATGGACTTGGCCCTGGCCCTGGTCTCACAGAGGCAGAGGCAGGCTCATGTCCCATGTCCCCTGTCAACATGACCACCCCCCCCCCGCCCCCGGTCTCAGGTCTTGTGACTGCTCTGTCAGGTGGGTGCTGTACCCAGGCTTGCTCAGGAGAAACCATCAATTATCCAGCCCAGGGCCTCTTTGCTGTTCCCTAAATGCCTTTACAGAACTATTAGGGTCATGGCTTGCCTCTTCTCTCTGTTCTATAAAGGAGGGTGGGAGGTGTTAATTATCTTTATAGATGAGGAAATAGAGGCTGAGGTGAGGCCACACTTACGAGGCTCCCACGGGAGGGAGTGCAGCTGGGAGCCCCCATATTCTGCTTCTCTCCTGGGCTCTTCCCCAGACATGCTCTGCTTATGGTCTGTCCTTGCCACCAGACCCCTCTCCTTCTGAAATTGGGCACTGTGGGCCTCTGAGCTGGTGATGGTGTAGGCTTTGGGAAGTCAAGATTTGGGGCTCTCCATGAGTAACTCACTTCCTTGTCCCAGGTTCTCAAGTTCAGCTTCAAGCAGTGAGGCCAGGAACGAGAAATGTGCTGTGCTGGGGGGCAAGCTTCCTGGCGAAAGGAGAGAAAAGGTAAGCAGTGCTGTTTTCCCATCTCATTTAGAAGAGCTGCTAGTCTGCCAGATGCAGGGAAGGAGTGCCAGAAGAGCCAGGAGCACCTGCAGCTGCACTGGTCCTGGGACTGCTGAGGCCCCTCTGTCAGGGTATGCTGGGTACCACCTGCTGGGCCTCAGATGCTCTTCATGAAAGCAGTTGTTGGCCATTTATTTACTTTTTCTGTGCAGAAAGGTGGGGGGCATGGCCTTCTTGTGTGACTTCTTGTGTATTCACACACCCAGCATTTGGGAGACAGAGACAGGTGGAGCTCTGTGAGCTCAAGGCCAGCCTGGTCTATATAGGGAGTTCCAGGACAGCTGGGGCCACTGGGAGACCCTGTCTCAAAACAGTAACAAAACAGCTTAGCAGAAACCCCCTCACACCGCTTCCAGGATTCTTTTCCTCGCCCATTCTGGCTCTCAGCAGCACAAGCAACTCAGGTACTTGGAAAACATCTCTTTGATCGGGTTCCTAAAGAAAACCTTGTAAAATACTGCTCCATTTAGTTGGTTTGTGGTTGAATTCTGCAGTTTTCAATTTCTTAAGACAGCTTTATTGAGGTGCAATTGATACACAGAAAGGACACAGATCTAAAGCCTCCACCTGTGTCCTGTGCCACCGTCATCACACCTGCCCTGCCTCTTTGTGATGCCCTGGGCCTTCCATCCCCAACATAGCCACTGATCTGCTTTCCATCCCTAAAGATGAAAGATTGTGGACTCATCAAGCCTGTTTTAGTTACATATTTTTTTGTTCTGGTCTAACCTCTGTACTCAGAATCACTCTTCTGAGATTGGTGATATTATTGTCCCTTTTTATTGCTGTGTACTAGTCCTTCACCGGGGTGGACCACAATATGTTTGTTTCACACCCTTTTGCTGTCACTGAAGTGGTTTTGTTTGAGGCCATTAGAAATCATGCTGCACCTGGGTGTGGTAGTCACAAGGTCACCCAGCACTCAGGAGGCTGAGGCAGGAGGATCACAAGTTCCAGACCAGTTTGAACTTCATAGTGAGACCCTATCACAAAAAACTAAAAAGGAAATGAAGTGGGTATGAACATTTGTGCATACAGCTGTGCAGGTATACAGAGTCTCTCTTTCTCTCTCTGAGATGGGGTTTGGTTTCATGTAGCATAGGCTAGCCTCAAACTCATTATGTAGCCAAGGGCAACCTTGAAATTCAGATCCTCATGCATCTGCCTCTGAAGTTCTGGGATTACAGGCATGTACCACCACATCTGGTTTGTGCAGTGCTGGAGATGGAACCCAGGTGCATGCTGGGTAAGCACTCCATGAGTTGAGCTGCATCTCCAGTCTAGTTTGCTTTTTCTTCTTGGGTGGTCTGGCTAGACTGTGCAGTAGAGGTGTGTGATGTGTGAGGGGACCTCTGCAGAGTTTGAACAGTAATCCCGGAGCTTGCTTCAAGGCTATTTGTGTCCTTCTCAGAGTCCCCAAGAAAGGGCGCCAGCTTGGAAGGGCAGTTAGGCCACTCTTGGGGTCTCTGGTTGGTCTTGTGTTTCTTGCTGGGTCCCTGCAAGAGATGTTGGAGGAATGTGGAAGCAGGGACTGTTGGAGGAAAGACCTCTCATGACGTGAGGAGGCTGCAGAGGCAGCAATAACAGCAGCAAAGAGGCCTGTAGAGAGCCTAGGGTTGGAATGTAGGTTGTCCTGAAATCTGGGGGTTTCCTGAAGGGGGTTCGATTTCTCTGTAATTTTGCATGCTCAAGAAAGGAAAAATTATTAAACCCTTAAATTACATATTGCTAGATTTCCTCTCTATAAGTAGATTTTTTGGTGATTTTTAAAAAAATATTTTATTTAAAAAATATTTTATTTATTATTTTTATTTTCTGTGTATGCGTGTATTGCCTGCATGTAGGTAAGTGCACCCGTGTCGTGCAATGCCTGCGAGGACAGAAGAAGCCATTGGATTCCCTGGAACTGGAGTTACGGACAGTTGTTAACTGCCATGTGGGTGCTGGGATTTGAACCCGGGTCTTCTGCAAGAACAACCAGTGTTCTTAACCACTGAGCCATGGTGCACGCCTGTTTTATAATCTCAACATTGGGGAGGCAGAGGCTGGAGGACCCTGAGTTCAAGGCAATCCTGGGCTGCTTAGTAAAACCTTGTCTCAAAAAAAATCAGTTTGTTGAATGAGGTCACAGTGTGTCTGCAGCACCGTCTGTAGTCACACCTGTTTTGTTGTCTCTAGAGTATCTGAGACTGCCTGCTTCTCCATGCCCTTGTCCACACTGTTCAGCCTTTAATGTTTAGGGGACTGGAAAGATGGCTCAGTGGGTAAAGTGCTTGCCATTCAGACATGACGACCTGAGTTCGATCCCTCCACCAGGTAAAAAGCTGAGCACAGTGAATTGCACCTCTAACCCCAAGGTGGGGTGGAGACAGGCATAGAACATTGAGGTTCACCAGCTAACCAGCCTAGCTGAGTCAGTGAGCTCCAGCCTCAATAAATACGGTGGAGGGCCATTGAGGAAGACACTTATTGACCTATGGCTTCCGTTATATGCACATACACACGAATACATATATGCCTACACAGAACACATATATACAGATGACACAACACATACAAACCCAAATTTTACAGCGTCTCACTTTTTTTATTTAAAAGGTTTTTTTCATTATTATTAGTGTGTATGTGTATATGATGTACATGTGGCGTGTGTGTGGAGGTTGGAGGACAAGTTTGTGAAGTGGGGTCTCACTTTCTAACTTTATGTGTCTTCCAGAAATTTCACTCAGGTTGTCAGACTTGGCATTGCCAGACAGCAGGCACTTTACCTATGGAGCAATTCCACAGGCCCCTTGCTGTTTTAGTAACAACACAGCCACCTCATCTGCCTGGCCTTTTCTTTGAGTCTTTACTGCTGTCTTCTCTGTTATTTTTCAGCCTAAGGAAAGTAGTGGTTTGGATGGTGGACCTTCCCCAAGAAGTCTCTGGAAACCTGTGGTACCCCAGAAGTCCAGGCAGACTGAGCAGTCCAGGCAGACAGAGCCCAAAGATGCCTCTAATGAGGACCCTGACAGGTATCAAGGTGCTCACACAAGGGGAGACTCAGGCCCTTCAGAAATTACTCCCGAAGATGATGGAAGCTTCCAGAAGGTGTGGGCCACAGTGTTTGAACATCATGTGGAAAGACACACAGTGGCTGACCAGGCAGGCTGTTGTCTCCCAGCCATACCCCCTGGTGATGTGACTGATACCCCACAGCCCAGACCCAGGCCTAAGAAAGACTCCTGGCTAGAGAAGGACCCTGCAGGAGTGACAAACCCCAGGCGAGAAAGCCACAGGTGTTCCAACGATGCTGAACATGGGACCCTTCTGGACGTTGAGCCGAGACAATATCCCACACCTGTCCTTGAGACACACCCCCCAGGGAAGAAGCGCAACAGTTGCTCCTTCCTTAAGCACACAGAGAGTCCTCCCGTGCCTCAGAGGATTGAGCCCAAGTATGACTTTGTGCATGCCGAAGGCAAGTGTGCACACAGTGAAGCCGTGTCCCCTCCAGTAGAGAAGGCTGTGTTGCTGCGTAGCAGGCCCCGACTCTCGCTGCAGGGTTGGCAGCTGTCAGGTCACACAGGGGCCGTCCACAGGGCCAGTTTGATATGGGAAACTCGAGGACGGGAGACCAGTGGGCCAAAACTTGACCTCCAAGAGTCAAGGGATATGTTTGGGGACAGTTGCCCATCCCCCAAATGGACAGGAGGGGCAGTGGCAAGCTGGCAAAGTGCCACTGTGGTCAGCAAAGCCAGTACTCCTGAGAGGGGTCCAGCTTGGGATGGCCCTCCAGACCCTCCATCCAGGGCCAACAGTGAGCCCTGTGACGTGTCAGTGCAGGCAGGGCTGGACACTTTGTCTCTGCAGAAAAGTACCCTGCTCACCAGTAAGAGCAATGCAAGGCTGGTCCAGATGCTCGAGTCTGAAACCAGGATGCGGAGGCCCAGCCCCTCAGAGCCAAGGCTGGACCGGTGGAGGCGGAGGACTTTGCCTCACGATGTGAAGTTTGATGTGTTCAGCGTCCTGACTCCAGAGAGCACTCCCAGAGGACAGCAGAGCCCACCAGATGAATCCACCTCCCCAATTGGTGCCTTAAAGAAGCCTCCACTCTCCCCCCATCAGGCACAGACACAGGAGGTGACCACAGGTGCCTCACAAAGCAGGGCTTTACCAGCAGAGAAGCCAGGGCTGTCCACTGAACCCACGGCGACTTTCTTTGCAGTCACCTATCAGATTCCCGATGTTCAAAAGGCAAAGAGTATTGTTAAGTCAGGGCCTGAAAACTTTCGGGAACCTTCTAGAAAAATTCTTCCACCTCCATTGCCTCATTCGTCAGTGTCTACTTTGACTTCTCCTAGCTGTGACGAGTCTCAGGCCCCTGCCAGCATTAAGAATCTGTTTGAGGGGAGGGAATGTGAAGAGGCAAGGAATAGTTTGAAGCATCCAAAGGTCATAGACCGGCCATCACCTGTTGGAGACATGGTTCTGGATTTTTCCAGGGACAGAATTGTCAATACTTTGCAGATTCACCGGGAATCAAAGGATCAGGCTGAGAAGGACAGCATGAGTGAGATGTCCCCAGGCAGCAGGGATGCCCTGGAAACTGCCCCGATCCTGAGGACCCGGTCCAAAGCCAGCACTATAATCAGGAGGAGGACTGAAGTGATCAGTGGGACATTCTCAGGGAAGATGAGAGATGGCTCCAGGTCCAACATCCTTGACATCGATGCTCTGATGGCCCAGTACAAGGAGCAGTTACCTAGAGACCTCAGCAAGGTCCAGGAGTGGAAGAACAGTTCCCCTGCAGAGCCTAGCAGTTCCTCTCAGGAGAAACCTGGAAAGCCTGGTGAGGCAGAGTGGGGATGGAGAGACCCAAAGGAGGGTCCCCAGGCAGAGAATCTCTGGAAGTCAGTGGGGGCATCTGAGAAAACACACCGATCCACCCCCGGGTCCAGCAAGCAGCTGGCAGAGCCTCCCAGGGCATCTGTGACCACCAAGTCTGGCTTGCCACTGTGGGCACCACCACCTTTGGTGCCTGTTGAAAACCATCCTGCACCCTCTCCTGCCCCTGCTGGTCCCAGGAAAAATTCCCCAGGAATCTATGAGCATGAAAACAATGCCTTTGTCAGTGAGTACCCGGGGGCAAATGTTCGGCATGGCCCAGCCAGATCTCAAGACCCAGGCAATAGTATCAGAATGTCCGTCAGGTCATCTCCCTCTGACCAGAAGAAAGACACCCCAAGGAGATCCACTGGGTGGAGAGTGGAGGGCAGTGGCGCCCAGTGGGGTGACCCCCCAGGTGACTGTGCATGGTCACCACTGACTATCAAGAGAACCTGCTCAGACAAGGGCCCACCGGCCAGGGTCCAGGAGGGTCTGTCTGCCATGCAGGACGCCAGGAAGCGACGGCAAGAGCAGCCCAGAGAGAGGCTGCGCCTCCCCACTGACCCCAAGGCCACAGTGGGGTCCTGCTGGAGGGAGCTGAGGATGCCAGATGGTCCTAAGGTGGGTGGACAGGCTTTTAATTTTATCAAACATTGTTTAAGCATTTTATCAGGGGCTCAGATTGAGGCCTTATGTGGGCCATGTGGGGGCATGAATGGAGGCAGGGTGGGGTGCCACTCTAGGGAGTGGTAGAGACTGCAGGACCAGCACTCATGCCCTCCCCTCCCCTCTGCTCCCCTCCCCTCCCTCCCCTTTCTTTGTGTCTTTTGCTGCACTGTGTACTAGACTTGTATTCTGCAAGCTGAGCCCCACCCTGTAGCCATTTCTTCATCCCTGACAACAGTAGGGTGACTTATTAGAAAACGTGGATCAATCCAAGCTGTGCTAACCAACTTTCTACAGTTGGCCATGCATTGAGGGTTCAAACCTGTGGCCTGGGATGGAGATGAGGATAGGTGTCATGCGACAGCATCTCGGAGCACCTGCAGTATACCAACAACATACATGCTGGCTTCTCTGTCTCACCAGGACCCAACAGCAGGCACCTCAGTGGGAGCTTCACGATCTGTGGCGTGAGTGAGTGAGAGATATGACATGAAACTAGTGAGTCTTACAAAAGAGGGGTCACCCAGGCTCGGGCTCCCCCAGAAGCAGACCCTGCCTTAGGTCTCTTAGAAGGTGACTGACCCCAGGAGGGACTGGCTCCACTGGGGAGGTTGGCAGCAGATTTGGTACCATGTGGGAACCGAGACTCAGTGCCCTAGGAGCCTCTGGAATCCTATTAACATATTGAGCTGTCAAGGGACAGGCGGTTAGGAGTGTCCCCTCCTGTCCTTCTGTCCTTGCCCGAGGCTGTTTCTGGGGCTTTGCAATGAGACTCCTCCATTCTAACCAGTAACATGAGTGGTGGAAAGACCACGCATAGAACAGCTTTGCACCCACTCACCTATTCGAGTGTCCAGAGTGTCAGGCAGGGAGTCGACATGGTCTGTTGTGTTGTGATTGCCTTTCTGTACAGATAGGGAAACACAAAACAGCAGTAGTTACAAACAAGGCTCAGAGAGATTAAGCAACCTGTTCCAGGTCACACAGCAAGGGTAGTGCTTGACCCACTTCTGCCCATTAGGTTATGGCCACTTTCTAAGAGGCCAGTGTGGTGGAAATGTGGAGAAAATGTGAAGCCCAGTGCAGTCCTTTGGGGATCTTTGGACCTGGGCAGGGAGCTGGGACAATGGACCCAAGGCCAGCAATGATATAGTACTGAATGAGGTCTGGAGGAGGTGCTAGCTCTATCCAGCCAAACCCCAAGGGACTAGACTCTGGCTGGGTAGAGGTTGGAAGGGGGGAGGGCATGCTAGGAGGGACAAGTAGAGGCAGGGCAAGCCCCACTTAGCACCTGCCAAGTGACAGAGCAGATACAGTATGAGCCAAGCCTGCATACTGTCTCAGAGTGTTCTCTGCTATAACAGAGCACCCAAGGCTGGAATATTTATAAAGAATAAAGACTTAATTCCCACAGTTCTGGATGCTGTGAACCCCCCTCCCCTTTTTGAGACAGGGTCTCCCTATAGAGCCATTTGATATGCAACTCACTATGTAGACCAGGCTGGCCTCCATCTCATAGAGATCTGCCTCCAGAGTGATGGGACTAAAGGCCTGCACCACTACACCCCGCTCCCTCCCCGCTTTAAAAAGTTATTTACTTTAAGTTTATGTGTATGTGTATATGTGCCTGAGTGTATGTATGTGTACCACATGTGTGTAGGCAGTTGTTAGCTGCTATGTGGGTGCTGGGAACTGAACCCAGGTCCTCTGGAAGAGCAGCCAGTGCTCTTAACTGCTGAGCCATCTCTGCAGCTCAAGTCCCTTCTTTTAGCCCATCTACCCATGACCAATCCCCTCCTAGAGGTCCTTTCCCCTGCTGTCCTACAGATTTGGTCTCCCCCACAGGACACGGGGGTGACTTCATATCAGAGTACAGCCAAGGGTCCAAGCACATGTTTTCTCTACCTTGAACCTGTTTCCTCACCTGTGAGAGACCAGGGGTCCAGTCGGCAAAAGGGCTGTGAGGGCAGTCACAGGAAGTCACAGCCTAAAGACTTTCCTTAGAGCAGAACAGGGGGCAATTGGGGTTTGGATCTGTGTCTCTCCTGGTGGCTCAGGCCTGCAAGGTGCTGGAAGTGCCTGTCCTTCTTCACCTTCAGTTTCCCCATCAGGATTGACTAGTTCCCTGTCTTGAAGGCCCACCGTAGGTGGAAATGGGATGAATTGCTCCCTGGGCTACAACCCAAGGTGGGGCTCCCACCCAGGCTCCTGGGCTGTTATTATAGGAACAGCAGGAGAGGGAAGAGGCTGTGGAATGTGACACTTCATCTGCTCACCAGCACCTGGCTCCAGTTCCATTGACAAGCAGAGAGCTGGAGCTGTGGAGGGGTCCTGGATGCCTGCCCAGAGGGCAGGCCTGGGAGTGTCCGCTGTCAGGGATCTGTTTGCTCATCTGGCATGGGAAGCCACAGACAGACCAGCTTCCTGTTTCTCTCCTCTCTCCCATCTGAAGGTCTTTTCTTCTTGACTTTTTGTTTTTGAGATAGGGTCTCATGTAGTCCAGACTAGCTTTGAACTTACTATGCAGCTGAGACTGGCCTTGAAGTCTTAATCCTTCTGCCTTTAGCTTCTAAATACTGGGATTCCTTGTGTGGCACTTGGTTCTTGATCTTAAACAAGCAAACAAAAACAAAAGGAATATAGATGTTCAAAATGTTGGTTATCAAAAATTCCAACCTTACAGAGGGAGAGAAAAAGGTGTCTGCCGATGGACCTGTTGCAGATTGCGATACCCTTGGGGATTTTGCTGTATTCCTTCAGTGCTTAGAGATCTTCATCCAGTGCACCCCCCCACACGCATACTACAAAGCTCTCTCTCTCTCTCTCTCTCTCTCTCTCTCTCTCTCTCTCCCCCCCCCCCACACACCAAAACTCTCTCTCTCTCTCTCTCTCTCTCTCTCTCTCTCTCATACACACACACACACACACACACACACACACACACACACACACACACACAGAGCATATTTCTCTTATGAGTGCTTGGGTAGAATCGGATCTATTTCAGGAACATGGGGTGCAGAAAGGGATGTGGAAAGCCAGTGTCCCTGATCACAGAGTGGTGTGCTGACAGGCTTGGTGGTGCAGGCCTATCAGCTCAGCTACTCAGGAAGCTGAAGTAGGAGGATCGGGAGAATTCAAGGCCAGTCTGGCAATTGAGTGAGCTCCTATCTGAAAAGGAAAACCGAAAAGAGGGCTGGGGATGGAGCCTGGGTCCAGTGCTTGCCTAGCACATACCTGAGGCCCTGACACTAACCCTGTAAAAATTTGTAAAGTTGGGGAGACCTCTCCAGGTCTGTCAGCAGTTCTCAGCTGTAAGCCATTGTCCCCCTAGAACACCCTGGCCATGTCTGGGGACTTCTTTCCTTACTGCTGGGGATCAAACCCAGGACCTTACACATGCTAGGCAGGTGAGCCTACTTCCCCTGTCTGGAGACATTTCTGTTGTCACACTGGGGCAGAGGTTACCACTGACATCTGTGGAGAAGCCAGGGTAGTACTTCATCGTCCTTCAGCGCACAGGACAACCATGTTCACGGTAAGCCAGGCCCCATCCCCAGTTTAGGCCCTGAGACACCTCTCCAGAGCCAGGCAGAGACCCTGGGAGGGTGGTCCATCTGAAACACTGCAGTGTTCTCCAGAAAGTCTCACGCTTTTGGGGGAGGGTTAGTAAGGATATTTGAATAGGCTTAGGCACAAGGCAGAAGAGAAGGAGGCACTCAGAGGACAATAGACACACAGAAACCAAGAGTTGCAGAGGAACACAGCCCCAAGAGTGGGCACGGGCTCTGCCACGCTGAGTCACCTCGCACATTTTTCAGTGAAGCATAATCACACATAGAGAAGTTTATTATTTTTATTTTGTATGTACAAGTGTATTGCCTGCATGTGTGTAAGTGCACCTGTGTCATGCAATGCCCATGAAGGTCAGAAAAAAGCGATGGATCCCCTGGAACTGGAGTTACGGTTAACTGGTTGTTAGCTGCCATGTGGGTGCTGGGAACTGAACCTGGGTCCTCTGCAAGAGCAGCCAGTGCTCTTAACTGCGGAGTCATCTCTCCAGGCCCCAAAGTCACTCTTTATAGTGACTGCAAAGTACTTTGTTATGTGACAGGGTCTGAACTTTTCCAGACCCTTGGTGGTTGTGTAGGCCCCTTTGAACTATTCCGTTAGGGACAGAAATGCAGTTCGTGCCCACCTGTACCTCTCGGTGGAGGGCGCTTCATGTACAGTCTGTCCCACGGATGGACGCCACAACAGAGTGAGGTTATAAGTACAGTAACTCTCTTCCCTACCTCCTTCCTGCCTTCCCTCACTCCATACCTCTACCATGTGGTATTGGAGGTTGAATACCAGCCTCATGAATGCCAGGCAAGCACTCAACCATTGAGCTACAACCCCAGTTCTTCTTATACTTTTTTTGACACAGGATCTGATGATGTTGCTTAGGCTGGCCTTAAACTCACTCTTTAGCCCAAGCAGGCTTGAAGTTGGAATCCTCCCCTCCCCACCAGCAGCTGGGATTTCTGGCCTACACCTCCAGGCCCAGTTCTCATTCTTTTTTACTTGACAAACATTTACTGAAACTCTGTCCCAGGCCAGATTATAGTGTTTCATTTACTTGAATGATTTATTGTAATTTCACAAGTGAGAATATTTTCACGATGACTGTAAAAATCCTTACAAGCAGCAGAATTCCCGATGTATCCCTCTCCCTAATACCACTTCCTCCCCACCTAGGAATGATTTTTATTCCTTTTGGCCCAAATTCTTTTGAAATTGCTTTCAGAAATCACTGCAAGGATGAAGCCTAGTCTTATTTTTGCCTCTCCTTCCTGTACAGACGGCCTTCTGGTCCTTAGTCGCAGGTGGGCACAACACAGGGAGTCCAACATGGCAGTGGGACCGGGTCTCACCCCAAGCCAAGGAGGATGAAATCTTTGGGGTGGAACTTGACCCGCATAACTTGGGAGCTCCCCAGGGGATTCCTGGGTTGAGGCTCTTTGCTTACCCCACAGATTCTCCATCTGCTTTTAAAATCGTGTGATATGGGTCAGTGAGATGGCTCAACAGGTAACAGTGCCTGCTGCGGAAGCCTGATAACCCAGGTTTGATCCCTGGAACCCATGGTGGAAAGAACGGACTGCACAGAGCTGTGCTCCGACTTTCCTATGCAGGTGCACATGCACACATGTACACACACACACACACACACACACACAAGCATGAAAGAGGCTGCTGAGATGGCTCAGCAGGTAAAGTGCTTGTCGCATAAGCCTGATGACCTGAGTTTGATCCTCAGACTCCATGTGAGGTGGAAGGAGAGAACCAACTCCACAAAGTTGTCCTCTGACCTCCACGTGCTGCTGTGCACATGCCCCATACTCACATAGAACACACATAATAAATACATTTGAAAATCACAGTGGGTTTGGCCCACTCTGCTGACACTCTGCTGTTTATAAAATACATTCGGTATATGCTCTGACAAGGTGTGGTGGCACGTATACCTATGATCCCAGCATTTAGGAGGCAGAGGCAGGAAGATCAGGAGTTCAAGGTCATTCTTGGTTACATAGTGAGTTCCAGGCCAATCTGGGCTATATGAGACCCTGTCTTAAAGATGACTGGGTAGATAAAATGTGGTACAGCCCTACAGTGAAATATTATTCAGGTATAAAAAGGAATATTTTAACCAAGTGCAGTGATGTATGGCTGTAATACCATCATTCTGGAGGCTGAGGCAGGAGGACGGTCAGAGAGGAGAGAGGAACCTAGATTTAAACCCACCCACCATCCCAGGCAGTGCGACAGGCTCTATTCCTGTATGGTTGGTTGTTTAAATTAGCTAGTATGAAATATGATTCAAATCTGAATCCTCTGTTGTCCTGGCCACATTTGAGCCCAGAGATTACATGACTGAATTGGACTTGCAGAACATTCCAGTGGGCAGCACTAAGGTGACCTCAGGCCAGTGAGTGAGTAAGGTCACACGGAGCCTGGCAAGTCCTGGGGACGAAGGAGAAGAGGATGATGGGAGATGAGGGAACAGATCAACACATTCATAGGAACGGTGTAGTCGCCATCTCTGTCAGTTCTAGGATGCCCACCCCTGTCACTGCCAGGAAGTCCTGAGCCCATTAAGGTATACTGTCTTCACCCTCCCGTCCTTGGCGCATCCCACTTTCTGCCTCTCTGGAGCCACCTGCTCTGGGAGGGCCCAGATAAATGGAATCTCAGGGTGTGTATGGCCCTTTGCTCTGCATTCTTTTCCTTAGCTGGATGTTCTCAGTGCTCTCCTACAGTACAGCATTTTTCAGAACTTATTTTTCATTTCTTTGTTTTGGAGACAGGGTCTCATATAACCCAGGCTGGCTGCATGTCTCATATGGCATGGTTTTGCTGTTCAGTTCTCTAATGGTTCATTCTCCCCTGTGCTTACTTTGCTGTGGACATAATTCTTTTGTGTAATGCCTGTTGGGACCCTGCCTCCATTTTCCACTGCGTTTTTTACACTGTTGAATTGTCCGTGCTCTTTATATATTCTGAATACAAGACGATTTGCAGAAGTTTTCTCACTTTCCCTGGGTGACTTTTTTGTTCTCACTCATGTCCTCTAAGGTACACAGGCTTCCAAGTTCAACAGTCTATTTCTCTTTTGTTACATACGCATTTTGTGTTCCGTTTCAGAATGTGTTGCCTCATTGTGAGGATTGGAACCTGGAGTTTCCTGGTCTCAGCTTCTCTGTTAAGATCTTGGCTGTATTTTGAGTAGATTTTGGAATGGGGGTGATGTTGCTGTGTGAACTGAAGAGAGAGCAGAGTCTCAGTTGTGTTGTTGGTAGCGGGAAGGAGAGAGAGGAGGTGCCTCAAGGGCCTTGGGCTGCCTGGCTGGGAGATGAGCAAAAGAGAGCAGACACTTCGGGAGAAGGGATGGCAAGGCTGTGGCCGTGGGTCTGAGATGAGTGGGCTACCCAGTGGTGAGGGACAGACAGAGCTACAGGCCTGGGTCCCAGCACCAGCAGGCAGAGCTGGGATGCAGGTAGGATTTATTTCTCACCACCAGGGCATGAAAGAAAGCTGAGCAGAAAGGCCATAGTGGCAGAAGGGAAGGCCCAGTAGTGGACCAGGATGTTCAAGGATGTGGTAAAAAGTGGCAGAAGAGCGGGAGGCAAGCCAGAGGGTCACCCAGGTCTAGAGAAGAGGCCTCAGGGAGAGATGTCAGGAGCCAGCCTCACTTCCTGATGCTGTGCGTCCTTAGCCAGGTTGCCTCCTGGCTCTGGGCCCTCCTGGCATCTCCTGCTTAGAGTATAAAGCATGTAAAATGCGCGTTTGGAGTCCTGGGTTTGCTAGCCTGTACTGGGTTCCCCAGTAGGGAGAAACAGCAGGATTTGTACTATGTGCCTAGGGGCTGGGTCCCCTGGGTCCCCCTCCCTCTTCGGGAAATTTCTATGGGTATATATGCATATGGATTTGAATGTAAGGAAAGATGTTCAGAACAGGATCCCAGGATCACCGTTGGCAATTACGTGGCTGTCAAGGATTTATGGAGGGTCCCTATGCACTAGCCTGGTGAGCTCAGCCCTGTACCCAGGACTCAGGCATGTCTGTCCCCCTGTGGTGAGACTGTGTCATACAGGTTTTGTGAATGGTTCCTTACTTGGTCTTTCCATTTCCCCCTTGAAACTGTTACTACTCCTTCCCACATGGTTGAGGCTCAGAGAGGTTACGGATTTGCCCAAGGTCACGCAACTATGAACGGGCTGAAGCTAGGTCACTTGAACCCAGGTCCTGCTGCCCTCTTGTTACCTATGACATGAAGATGGAGGGGCGGTTCTGGTGGTTTTGTTCTTGCCAAGAATGGCCTGTCTTGGTGTGACACACTTTTCAATCAGAAGTTCCCCACTAACATCTTTTCTTGTGCCTCAGGTGCCACTACAGAGCCTGGAGCGGGGCGATGGCCTGCAGGGTGAGGGGCAGCTTGTCCAACAGGTGTGCCCTGTGGTCCCTGCCCCCCCGAGTCACAGCTTTTGTAAGGACAAGAAGAGCGGGCTTTCTGTGGTGAGTGACACCAGCTTGGCAGGTGGTGGTGGCATGTGTGTCTGCTGTCCGGGGTCTGAGGGGTGGAAGGCAAATGGAGGCCATCTGGGAACCAGGCTCTTCCCTGCTTTGTGAGCATTTGGTTTCCGTGTTCTTCAGTTTTCTCTTTAGCTCTGATTCAGAGGTGGAGTTGGATTGTGTTGGGGGCCGGCCTGGAAGAACAGCAGACCCTGTAAGGGACACTGGGGGGCTGTAGAAACCTGCTACAGGGCCCGAGGCCTGGCTCAGCCCTAGATCCCCATATATGTGTGTGGCCTGGGGCAGGCCTGTGATCTTGTCCCTACATGGGGGCAGTTGAGAGTCCCTACAACAGAATATGGGCTCCTATAGTAATGCAGGAGGCTCTCTGTGGGGTCCCAAGCACCCAGCAGATAAGTCATGGTCTGCCACCTCCACACCCAATTGCGTTGGCTGTGTCTCTGTGGGCCTGCCCACCTGTCTCAGCTGCATGTGGCTTAGGAAGGCCTTGGGTGCCAGGTGAGGTCAGACAGACACAGCCTCCGCTGCTTACATTTCTGGGTCTGCAATTTCTGCAGGCCTGTTGGGTTCTCTGCTCACTTTGGAAGACTCTTGTAGGTCCAGATCCCGTGTGGGGACAGCCTAGATGGTGACTGCTGGACAGGGTGGCGTGGCTGCTGTTCCAGTCCTCCTTGTTGCTGGATTGACACCTGGGCTTGGTCTCATGTATTGGAGACACATGTTCTGCATGGGAAGGTCTACCAACAGGCCTCCCATGTCTGTATACCAGGCAAAAGATCACTTCTTTTGAGCCTCAGTTTCCTTGGTTGTAAAGTGGGGGGCGGGGGGATTGCTACTGGCAGTATTTCCTCTCATAGGGAGAGAGGTGACAGGGACTTGGGGGGACTCCACCTCAGAACTGATGGGGTGTCTGAGCAGCTCTGGAGGTTTCCGTAGCATCTAGGCCCCAGGGGCCACCTGCACACATTGGAAACATGGCTTTTTCTCAGTGTTCCCTTCCTCAGAGTTCTTCCTCACCCTTGTCCCTCTCAGGTCGCACCACCTCCCCTGATCTGAACAGACTTGAACTTCTGTGTGCCCACGAAGGCAAAGGTTATGGGGAGAAAAGGTTTTTAAAACCTGTCTTTTTGTAGTCCCTGGCTTGCAGGAGGTCTCCCTGGCCGCTGACTCCTCCTCTTCCCTTTGTGTCATTGAGGAGCCTTGTCGTTGGAGTCCTGGGTGACCTGCTTTGGCTCCTCCATCTGGCCTGTGGCCTGGGTCCCCCACCTGCAGCCTCCTAAGGGTGGTTGGTAGGGAGGTCTCCAGCCCTGTTCCTGGTGCTTCCACAGCCTATGGCCTGGGGTTCTAGACTTCCCAGACACAGAAAGGTTCAGATTCCAGCTCTGTCACTGTGTGACCTTGTGCACAGGACTTAATAGATCTCTGGGGAACTCAGTTTCTTCCTCTGTAAGATGAAGTTGGCCCTGTCCCAGGGCAGATAGTGAATCTTCATTAGTACCTGGGCTGTGAAGGTTCCTCCTCCTCCTCCTCCCCCTCCTCCTCCTCCCCACTTTGTCTTTTTAAGATAGGGTGCCACTGTTTAGACCTTTCTAGTCTTGAACTCCCATTCCTCCCTCCTCAGCCTCCCAAGTACTGGAACTACAGGTATGTACCACCATGACCAGCTGTAGGATTC